GCCCGCCACCTCTCAAGGCAGTCCCCTAACTGCTAGGCTGTGGCGTGCCTGGCTGGAGCAGTTCCCTAGCAGAAGCTTGGGGACGTGGCAAAGAAAAGGTAGGGAAGGGAGGAGATTCAAGGACCCGTGGCCACGGCGCCACGCTCCCAGTGCCACGCTCATCATCCACAAACATCTGCCCCCACGTCCCACTGCCCGGTCGACCTCATTTCACTGAGAGGTTCTGGGAAAGACCGGAGAATGCTGAGGGTCATAGATTTAGAGCTGAAAGGGACCTCAGAGGTCATGTAGCCCGAGCCCTTTATTTTATGGAGGAAACTCAGACACAGAGAGGTTAAAGACCTGCCCGAAGTCACACAGATAGGAAGAGCAGAGCTGACATTTGAACCTAGGTCCTGACTCGAAATCACTCTTCCCATTGTACCATACTGCCTCTCTAGACCTTGGCCCCCTCCGGGGGCTCACTTTGCAATCCTTACTCCTGACGCCTACCTAGTGGTGGAAAATGAAGTTCCTGTTTCCCTGCCTGTGGATTTCAAAAGGTTCCACACTGTTTGGAAGGCTGTGCCCAGCTCTTTCTGAACAGTTTTGAAACCACGTGGCTTAGGAGGAACCAAAGTTCCCTTTGCCCTGGGGAGCGCTTTTCCAAATATTTTCAGAAAGTTAAAAATATACCAAAACAAACTACCCACAAAGAGTCTATTTCATGGGGTGGGGGAAGAGGGGATTAGGAAAACAAAACTCCCGAGTAAAAAGCAAGGCAGTCAGATGGCCAGGAAGGAGAGTGGGGGGAAGGGAAGAGAGAGGAGGGGAGGGGATGGAAGGGGAGGGTTGATTTGAGGGTAAACTGTTCGATTTGCAACAGAAGAAATCTGCTGCCTAATTTGCCGCCGTTTGGGCTTTCATTTTAAGGGGTGGAGCAAAAATAGACTGATATAGGGTGTTAGGTGTATTTGCTGGAGGCGATGAAACAAAGCTGCGATCGTTACTTTACAAACTCCTTGAAAAATTGCTCACTGACAGAAGGCTGGCTGGTTGCTAGCCGAAAAAAAAAAAGAAAAAAAAAGAAAAAAGGGGAAAAAGCCAACTTTCTACGCCCCTCTTTATCTGCTCGGCTCTGGGTTGTGAGGTTTTCCTTCCTGGCTATTGGTTGAATGAACGTCTGAAGCTTTATTTTTTTTTTAACGTGCCTTGTAAAGAAACAATTCTCTCTCTCTCTCTCTCTCTCTCTCTCTCTCTCTCTCTCTCTCTCTTTCTCTTCCTCTCTCTCCCTCCCTCTCTCCCTCCCCCCAATTTCAAAGTGAATGGAAGTTGCCTCTTTCTATTGGCAGCTCGGCACATTGCAAGGAGACGCCACGAGCTCCAAACGCCACAAATCTAAAACTAAGCTCTCGCTGCAGCAAGTGTACCTCCCCGAAAAACCTGAACACTTGGCATGGAGTTTCCTACCGCTGACCATGTGAAGAAGAAAAAAGGCACCCGAGAATCCAGAACTGTGCTTCCAGACTTCTTAAGGGGAAACTTCGAGTCTGATCTTCTTCTCCCCTACCCTCTACTCATAATATCCCATTCTTAGCAGGCAGCTAACTGGAGGAGAGGAAGAAGTTAGGAAGGATAAGGGGAAGTATGCCCTAAAGGAAAAAAATAGGGTTAGGCCTGGGTGTAGATTTTTTTTAAAGCAAATTGTTTGAAGCAGAAGCCGTATATCTTCAAAGTTCGGAGACAGAAACAAAGATGCTAAAAGCGGCGTTACCTCAATCTTCCTTCTTTCCTTCCTTAGAAGGCACACACTCTAAGAGGATAGCCTGGGTGCCCTGAGTCTACACAAGCAAAATGAAGGGAGAATGGGAAACAATAATACATATAGTTTACAAGGCACAGATCCAAATAACTCAAGGAGCATATAGAAAACTACTATTGAGTTTAGGAGCCTGGACCGCTGCAGATGCGGTGCTTACAGCTATCGAATTCCCCGGCTAACTGCGGAATCTCTGCACTTACGCACTTTCTCTTGACTCGTCTGGACCCTTACGACCCAGGGTGCTGTGGGTTCTCTGCTAGGTCCAGATAGAGCCTGCCTAGCTGAGATTCAAGACAAGCCCCCAAAAGTCAGCTGGTCCCATGTTGGAAGCAGAGCCCTTGCAAGCTCAAGCTGGCCAAGCGCAGGAGGGGGCGAGGAGGAGTGATAACCTTACATAAGGGCCTTTCTTTGTACGATGCCCAAGTTTGCGAACTCCAAGTGACCTCCTCGAGTCATACCCAGCTTCTGGAAACTTACTGAGCCCTGCGCTGGCGGTGGAAGCGGCCCCCGCAACTTTCCATAGACGGTGTCCTTCTGAAGTAGGCCCAGGTCCATGCCCTGCTTTATTTTTAGACTTAAATAAAACACACACCAAAAACAAAAAAAAAACAAGGATCAGAATGAAGCAGAAGGACTCACCCTGGGCTAGCGCTCCAGAACTCTGCGAGGTTCCAGTAGCTCTCCAGAACTCGAGGGCTACTTGGGAACCACGAGACCGAGAGGATTGGGAAGCTCTGCGTCCCCTCGCCTCTTTTATTAGATCTAGGCAAGACCGATGGTTCTTTTTTTTTTTTTTTTTTTTTTTTTTTTTTTGAGCCTGAGTTGATGAGCAAAGAAAAATCAGCAAACCATCCCCTAATTAGCCAAGGGCAAATCTATGCGTCCCGAGACAATTTCCTCTCAGATTTCACCTCCCAGATCTTCAGGCCTCCCCACCACCACCACCACCAGTAAAATAAAACACCACCATCACTTGAGGGGTCAAACCTCAGAGGAGTTTGACCAGGAGGACTTGATGACTGTTTCATAGCTAATTGTCTTATATCTTTGTCACTCCGGAGAAGCGAGAGCTCTATAGATAGGGGACAGAGGAAGAAATTGGCGCGGGGTGGGGAGGTGGAGGGGATGGTTTCCAGAGTTGCTACAGAAGTGTCGAGAACTGGACTGGTCTGGGGGGAGGGGAAGGCAGTGAAGCAGAAGGCATTGAACTCCCTTCTCCACTATTCCAGCGGGGAGGCCAGACCGCCACTGAACTGGCCTAGATCGAGGAGAGCCCGGAGCATGACCTGAACACCCCGGCTCTCCTACTCGGTCAGCCACTCTCCAAAACTCAACACTGACTGCGCCTTAAGGAGGTTAGGGGGCTTAGCCCAAGCTTTCCACTGAATCTTAACGTCTGGTCTACCTAAGAGGCTGCGTTTGCCGAAGGCTGAGGCAGTCCAAGACTGAGAGGCAAAGAAAGTCCCCACACAGAAGCCTCGTTCAGCTGCATCTCCCAGCCACGTTCAAGCTAGGGTTTTGCACACACGCACACACCAAACAACTCTTGAAACCCAGGAGTAAAGAGGACGGATGCATGGACATCTTAGATAGATGTACGGACGCCCACTAAGAAGAACAAGGGATCAAAGCCCTAGCCAGGGTTTTGTTTTCGAGGCTTTTCCCCCATCCCCCCAGGTCGCTGGCTTCCTTCCCTAATTGCTCACACTGAGCCGCCTCCCGCTCACAGTCTGTCCAACTCGCTGCTTCGGAGCAGTCTGAGGCTGGGGAACAGCTGCTAGGCCCAGGCAGGAGCGCATTCCAGCTTCCCGGCGCCACAGCCACCCAATCCAGACAGCGTTCAAGCACCTTCCTGGGCTCCTTAGAGAGTAAGAGAAGAAAAGGAACTACCCGAGGCTGGGGGATGGAAGAGAAACACACACGCAGACACACACCAGCAGCCGCCAACAATTGGCTGCAACGTGCACGCGCTGCAACCACCCCAAGCGAGATCATTTCCTCTGCAGACCTTGCCTTGGCAAAAGAAGAAGGGAGAACAGAAGTGCGAACCATTCCCACCAAAGCAAAATGAAATGAAGACGTAGACACAGGCAACCACCCTCCCACTGACTTTCTGTTTGTTCTCAAACACACTTCAAAAAAAAAAAAAACAAAAACACACAACCTTCACCCCCACTCCCGAAAATATGATAGGACACTTCAAATGACGGCTACAAAAAGGCCAAAGCTGGAAAAAGAACCTGTTTTTATAGAAATCGATCAAAAGTATTTACAGATTTTGTAATCATCTAAATTCTGAGGTGGAAGAAAGTACTGTTAACCAAGTTTCTTTTTTTTGTCAGTAAACTTGCTCTAGTAAAATTAGCTTCCTTGGATTTCAACACTTGTTAAAAAAAAGATAAACTTTATTTTTTTAAAATCTTCAATCACAAAAAAATCTATATTTTTTCATCTAAGCATTTATTTTTTTTTTTGTTTGTTTTTACGGAACCCAAAAGACATGGAAAGAAAGGGGGGAAATCATGTATTTACTAACGTATATAAGTGAATCTTTTTTGGACAACATATAATAAATATGATATATCATTGATCACTCAGTCTTTCCAATGTACATCTTTAATAGTTTGGAGCATGCCACTTTTCCAAAAGAAAAAAGGTCATGAGAAAACAGTGCAAAGTTCTCAGTTTACCCTCCTCTTTTCTCTAGGGGCAGGCGCCAAATCCTCTGGAGTCCTCTGCCGCGCGTCTCTCTGCTGTGGGCCTCGGCCTCTCCGTCTTTCTGTCTCTAGGTCTTCGTGGTTCTCCAAACCACCCCTACCACCATCCCCCCCCCCTTTTCCCAAGAACTTGAAGTTTTTCCTCTTCAGTCATTATTCCCACTTACAAGTTACACCCTGCGTGGGTTCAGGTTTGTTATCTTTTTTCCAAGAGTCCCACCGCTCTGAGGGGAAGCATCTCCAGCTCTTGCCTGGAGGGGGGAGGGAGATGGGGAGAGGAGGTGGGCATCAGATGCCCTGGCCCTGCTCAACTTTTTACAACCCCCACACCCACACCCACTTGTTAGCTTCCTCTTCTTCCTCTTCCTCCACCTCTTTTGTCCGCTGCCCAGGGCAGGTAGTTGCCTGGCGCTGGGGAGGGCAGGAAAGGGCAAGGGAGGGATCCAGGGGAGCTAGGCGGGCAGGGACGGCAGTGTCGCTCTTCACCGAGGGTGCGGGGTCCCCGGGATAGGATTGGACAAAGGGTTGAGAGCTGGCTGGCCCCCTGGTCCCAAGCCGTGGATCAAAACCCGGGGCACAAGGGGCCGCTGGAGCTGCGGATGGGGCGCGGGAGGAGTCCGATACATGCTGCTGTACATTGCCGCGGCGGCCGCCGCGGCTGTGGTGCTGTCCATGCTGCCCAGCAGGCTCGGATGGTAGAAATAAGGGGACGGAAACATCCTCTGAAGGGCAGAGTAATTCCCGGCCTCCGCCAGCAGCTCAAGGCCCACCGCAGTCTGCCTTTTCCATTTCGTCCTGCAAGAAACCAAACACGAGAACACATGCATGCATCTGTGTGGACCTAGCCATTCCTGAAGCCCCTCTCCTCATCTTGCCGCCCTTCTCTCTCCCCGGGGGTGAGGGGAAGATTAGGAGGGAAATGGCCCTAAGGACCACCCTTTCCCAGGTTTTGTTTGTGTCTTCAAATACAACTCAATCTGAGAAGCTAGCAGCGCTATTATTCTTCTTCTCATCATTATTTGCTAAACTCAGAGAGGGATGTCTCTCAAGTTTTTCCTTCTTTCCCTGCCCCCTCTGGGGCTAGCCTTCTTTGCTGTTTTGTTTCATCTTTGAAACTTTGCAAAAGCCACACTCCACAGTCCCACAAGAACGTTCCGCATCACCTCAAATCAAGGATCCCTTCTGATACACCAGCACCCTTCCCCTACACAAACACTGTATACCCATCCTGCTGCTCACCTTCCCCTTCTACCTCCTCCACTTTTCACACACGCGGGCCCCAAGCCTCTGGGCTCTTTCCCCAAGCAGGCCAACTGAAGTCATACTAACACCAGAACCGCCACCACCACACCTTATCCCAGCCCCCAGTTCCCTCACTCCGAGAGCCTGGCTGAGAGAGCAGACGGGACTGCAAACAAAGGGACGCTAACACTCGAAACCCCCTCCCTCCTCATCCCTCAACCCATCTCAGCACCCCCCCCCCCAGCCCCAGGCTGCGCAGCCACATCTCATCATACAGGACCCTGCAGCAGGAGAAGGATGGAGCGTAGGGAAAGCAACGAGATTTCAAAAATGGGAATTCGTTTGAGAGGGGCTGTTCCCAAGGGCATAACACTTCTGGGTCATTCAGAAAAGCCCATTTCGACATATTTCTCCCCCTCGGGAAGAAAATAATAATTAAAAACTGTGATCGAATTCTTTCCCTCCCTTCTCTTTCCGTCGCACCCCCATAGACTCCCCATAGGAAGAGAAGAGAAGAGAAGAGAAGAGAAGAGAAGAGAAGAGAAGAGAAGAGAAGAGAAGAGAAGAGAAGAGAAGAGAAGAGAAGAGAAGAGAAGAGGTCTTTTTAAAATTTATTTAAATGCCTTGTCAATGCAGAACTGGCAGACCATACTTTGCAATTCCAGCCAAATTAATAAACATGGCGCCTGTTTAGATTGGCTCCAAATGACACTAATGTTTTCCGACAGAATTAGGGTGGCTGAAACCGTATGTAATGAGACAGAAAATTATGGCAAAGATAACAACTGGACGCAGTTCCCCTGTCTCACTTTCTAGATGATTAGAATACAAACCAGAGACATAACTCACCAAGATCAAGGCAGAGATAGAGGTAAAGATAGAGACACAGCTGCAGATGCAGATGGAGTCAGGAGTAGAGACAGAGACACACAGAGACAGAGAGATAGAGAGATATACACACAGAGACAGAGCCAATTGCCCCTTGCTTAAATCCACAACCCACACAACCAGTCTATGTTTCACGCCCTTTCAAATGAGCAACACCATCGCAGACTTCACTATAACATTGAGACTTTGCTTCCCCCATCCCCTTTCTGAGCAGTCACACACCATAGATATCATAATGATCACCAAGACTAGCTATTTCTAAGTCAATTGACATATCCAGGGGTTGTGTGTCCTTGTATGGCTTGTGGCTGGGACACGGAGAGGGTAAACACTGCCTCTGGTCCCTTAGCCATTTTCCCAGTTAAATAATTCTTGCTGCCCATGAGCTGAAGAGAGTGTGGATGAGCCGATTACTTTGACTGAACACTTCTCCTAGTGAGATGAGGGGCCTGGCTCTCCAAAACCTTGAATTCTGCTGTCCACTGATATATTCGCTCTTTGCAATCTTCCTTCTACTTGTGCCTGGCAGAAGAAGTTTCACATGGGGGGGGGGAGCGGGACAAGCAGTTGAGATGGGAAGCACAGAAATGGGGGGGTAGCTAAGAGAGAAAAAAAAGTATCAAGATGTGTAATAGATACACACTTCCGTATTTATAAATATGGAGATACACAGTGTGTGTATACAATTATACAAAGATACCTGTGCCATAGATGCATACACACGTATCTGATCTATACACACTGTCACTTGTAAGGGGTCACCATTTTTACTTTCTTATTTTGCCCAGGTCTACATTACAGATACTTCAATTGTTGTGTGGGGAGTCTTGGGGAGATGAACGTTCTTGAATCTGTTTCTTTGTGTGAAGAAATAAACTCCAATCAATAAGAACGAACTTTTTCATTTTAAACATCTCAAGCAAGGTTCTCGACTGTCACAAGGGAGCTGGGTGGGGGTGCTTTGGACCAAAAATAGGACGGTTTCTCCCGTTTGCTCCTAAGCGGTCATTCAACACCCCCTCCCACCCCACCTCCCTTTACTGCTACTGAGAGGCTTTGCCTAGCGAAGGGAACGGCTAGGGAAGGAAAGGGGGTGAAGAATTGGTCCCACCTGTCCCACAGTTGGGGAGGGGTGGCCTGTGGAGTCGAGAGATCCAGGTCAGAGGGAGATGACAGTTTTCTGAACGTCACAGGCTTTCTAAAGAGAGAAGCTGAGTCCCATTCCTTCTTGCCTCTTCCGCCCCTACACACACCCCTTCTCTCTTGCTTTTCCTGGGCCGGGCCTCCCTTACCTCCGGTTCTGATACCAGGTCTTAACCTGGGTGTCGGTGAGGTTGAGAGCCGCGGCAAGGTCCATGCGATCCTGCACACTCAAGTACTTCTGTCGTTCGAAACTCCTCTCCAGCTGGTTAAGCTGGTGATCTGAGAAGGCCGTTCTCGCCTTCCTAGGTTTCTTGGCCCTGACTGGGGGACTCTCCCGGCTACTTGTAATTTCCCGGTCGCCTTCCTCCTTTGTTCCTATGAGGAAAAACCATTCATAGCCGCAGTTAAGAGCTAAGAGGAAAAACCGAAGTCTTTTTTCTTTCGCACACACAAACACACACAGCCCCACAGAACCCGTCGTGGACAGATCTCAGGAGGCTGAGCATCAATGACCCCAACCCCTTGGGATCGGCTCAGGCTCCAGTTTTTCCACAGTGTAGAGAAAGCGAGAATTTTTTCCACCTAAGTAGTGACTTTTTGGATGGGAGGGCCTACTCTTGAAAAAAAGATTCCTACATTTTCGAAAACATATGTGGGAAAATATTGTTCTCTGAGGAGGGAACTAATATTTTCTATTTCTCTTCATTTAATAATGGATTAACGGTTTCTTTTTTTCTGAATTACAATTTCTTGCATTTTTTTCAATGGATGAATAGACTTCGGGAATAAAGGGGCCCTGGCCGTTTTGTTTTCGGGAGACTGGTGAAGTTTGTTTTGTGTGGGGGTTTTTTTCCCCTTTTCCTTTTTCAGGGCACTTGAAATGTAGTAGTAGTAATAATAATAATAATAATAGTAACAACAATAACAACACTTAACAACTGCTCTCAGCAGATCTCTGAATGTTTCAAAAATAATATGTCAGCCGGACACCAAGTTGAGTTCCCAATAGCTGAGCACGTCCAGGTGACAGCGCTAAGATTTCCGGATTCTATTTGTCAACTTTGGTTTTTTTTCTTTCTTTCCTGAAATGCCGGGAAATCGATATGTCAATCCATCTCTGTTTGTACCAGTTTTTGCTGCGCTCCTTGATCTTCCCTGCAGGAAGAACAATAATCTCTCTAATTGACCCACTGGGGAGGTTGGTGCACAAAAAAATCGCCAGACCAGACTGTACATCTGTTTTGGGCACCATTATGCTAATGTTAAAATAGCAAAATGAATGTCTCACATCCCAGTCTCCCAGTTAGTCACTGCTCTGCTTTTCCGAAGACGGGAAGGATTTTTAAAATTATAATCAGAACACTATAAGAAAAATATATTCTCTCTCAGAACAGTGGAAACTGTCTCCCCATGCAAACCCCACGGTCAGAGAGAAGTGATTATTTTTGTTATTGTTCGACATTTAAAGGGAAAGGGTTTATTTTTATTCGTCTTTTGTTTTCACGAACACACAAAATCCATCCCTCAGTGAATGCAACGTTCTGCACGTTGTTGTTGTTATTGTTGTATTTGTATATGTTGAAGTTATGGTTGCTTAAATTTTAACTCCAACTCTCAGTTCCCTTTAAGGAATAAAAATATTTCTGTGATGCCTATTTGCAGTAGCAAAAGCAAAGAATTTGTGTGTTTGGGTTTTAGAGACTCAAGGGGGAGAACAATCTCTTAAAATCTACCATCTTTGTCATCTTAATCATAATCTCCTCCAAAAGTTGCCCCTCACAAATCAAGTTGAAAATTTCTCATATTAATTAAGTGCTGCTAAATTCCCATGATTGGTGTTTAGAAAACATGGAAGAAAATGAAAGGCATTTGCATTTTAAAAAATAAACACCAGGTTGCAAACACGCTCCCAGACACAACACACGTAAGGTCTAATTCTCTTCTCCCTCCCCTCCATACACACAATCTCTCTCCCCCTCCTCTGCCCCCAAGGTCTCAACTACAAAATTATAGCCAAACCCTTTCATCAACCGAAAGTGCTGCTGTTTTTAAAGGAGAAATAAAAAGAGATAGGGAGAAAGCCAAAGGAGACGAAGGAGGAAGGAAGGAAGGAATGAAGGAAGGAAGGAAGGAAGGAAGGAAGGAAGGAAGGAAGGAAGGAAGGAAGGAAGGAAGGAAGGAA